AGGGCCGGAGAAGAGGGCCGACAGGAAGGAGGACCAGCTCAAACGCGTTTCTCCCCTCGCTGTCCGCCAGTCCCTCACCGAGTTTATCCGAGGACGTGATTATATCCGTCGGGACGCAAGAGTCCAGATCTGCGTCCATGATGCCGAGGGGGTCCAGCTGAGCAACATGGTGCCCGCGAATCTACAGGAACACGGGGTTCGGAGAGAAACAAAAATAAAAATAAAGAGGGGGGGGAGAAGGGGAGGGTAATTGGAGAAAAAATATGTAGTGTGGGGAAAAAAAAGGCAACAGAAGGAGATAAAGGAAGGAAGGAGGAAGGAAGGGGGGGAAAAAGCACAATTAACACAAACAGGTTCATCGTTCGTTTGCGCAGAGCAGCTGCAGAGGAATATTTCTCACCAACATTCGGGAACCCGACTGTTACTGGGGCATCGTCAAAATTTACACAACTGATCCCCAGAGGATCGAGTTTGGCAATGTGATGCCCAGTCACCTGTAAACAAGGTAACAGTAGTGACATGAAATATAAGAACATTACACTATTAAGTTAATATTCAATCATTATTACATTGTCGCGACTGGGTAAGGAGAAGCTGGTTAAGCATATCCATTAAAAAAGCTCCAAATTAAATCATTTGATAATTCTGGTAACAACATTTTGTTAAACAGCTGGCAACAGCTCAAGAATGACCATTAAATGTATGTTTTTTAATGAAACCAGTGTGTTGTTTTAAATTCCCTGTAGTGCAATCAGCTTTACTTGACAGTGAAATGCAGTGCAAAGATCAATAACAAAAGGGTTAAAGATCCCTTCTGTACTGTAACTCTGCATTTATATGAAGAACTTAAACTGAAATTGCCGTCTGAAATTTGGCCTGGTGGTGCTGGTTCCTGTTCAGATTCAGTATAATAAGAGGAAACCAGTCCCAAGCCCCACTTCAGGGAGCAGAATCTGAAATTTATCACAGTGCAGTTTGGCAGGTTAGCAATGCAAAATTATAAACTGGACACAATTTGTTTAATACGCCAAAGTGCTGATCACTATTAAGTTTAGGGCATGGTTACTATAAATATTCAATACAGACATCTGGGGGAGATAATCACCAATGCTAAATACAGCCGGTTCACAGCCCTATCAAATCCAGATATTTCATTAGGTGCTCTTAGCAGAACTGAGAACTGCAGGCAATGAAACGTATTCTAAAGTACGCTGTACAAAAAGGTTTTGCACCGAGAAAGGAGGGTTTTGCAAACATTTGGCCATAATCTACACAGGAATAAAGCTTCTATGCACACACACTGCGAAATGGCCATACAGTATATATCGTATAATGGGTGCGTACGTGTGTCTACAACCACATCTACATACTTGATGTGCACAGGCAAATTGCATGGCCTCCTGAGTGGCTTCAGGTTTAACAAGCTGCCTGAAAGCATTATATTCAGCACCACTTTAACCCTAGGCAGGCCACTGGGGCAGGGTGCGTGGGATACAGAGCGCACTGACCTGATAGGCACGGATGAGCGACTGAACAGCCAGGTGATCCTCCACCAGCTTCTCCACGTTGGGCTGGGTGCTGACCAGCGCCTGAGCCTGCGCCAGCCCCGACAAACTCCTGCCCAGGGGAGGGGGGCTCTGGTAGGCCGTGCCTGGGGCGGCACCCGCGTTGGCATTGCGGAAGAATATGTCCCAGGACTGTGGAGAAGACAGTGATGGTGGGGGGGGGGAGGAAAGAGAGAGAGAGAACATAAAACATCATAAGTGACAGTAACAGCACAGCTTGTTGACAGAGGCCAACAAGAAAAACAACCCGTTACGTGAGCAGATACTTTAGAGGAGGCATGTCACAAATTTCCCTCAATGCTTCGGTTGTATTCATACACATAAAAAAAAAAGAAACAGAAAGATACAGATACAGAAGATGCGATTCGCTGTTCTGCTTGTGAAGGCTGTGCTATTTAAGAGTCGCAGCGCCCCTAAGCAAATCGCACACGACTGAGATCAGAACAACAGCGGGAGGAATGAGGAATCGGAAAGCCCGACGCGCACGAGTCACAGGATGAATATTGAAAGAACAGCGTGTACTAAGAGAACACTGCAACTCGCAAAGCAGTAACTGGAAAAGAACTTTGAACTTTCCAGGCACTGTTACAGCAGTGGTCAGGGCGACTGGGCTCACTGCAATATTATGCCTCCGTTATTAATGCTGGTAACAGTTTGCTCTTCCAGGGCTTGGGTTTTCCAGCACGGGCTCTGTGCCAAACAAAACAGTGCAAATCTGCTTTGAAAACAACTGATGAAATGATGACGTCGTGATTGATAAATGTAAAACATTGTATTGTTAAGCCACCTGGAAAAGAGCATTAGCTAAGCGCGTTAATAATATTTTAAATGTTATATTTGCAGGTATTTCTTGTAGTCTTTTTCTTCTTTTAGCGAACACAAGTTGTTAGCAAGTCACAAGTTGTCTACAGGCAATTGCCATTCATAAGGGCGGAGACCAACGACCGATGGCGTCGGACTATGCAGCTCATACCTCTGCTTTCCTGTCCTCGCTGATCCCACGAGTTTCGGGACAATAAGACGTGTTTCTGCATCCACTGACAGAAAAGCACCTCACTCTTCCACCACTCAGCATTTATCACACCTGGTTCACCCATGCGGTGTGAGTATGTTACACAGTGCGTGTTCCAGCCACGAGCACGCCAACTGCTCAACAAAGCTGGGACACCATTAACATGCGCAATGTGCCGAATCTGCTTTTTCCCCCTATTTTTCTTTTTGGTATTTGTCTCTGAACGGGGCCCTTGTTCAGAAAACAAAAAGAAACCGGTAGGTGACATTTCCATTTGTGTCTTTCTGACTGCAGTGATGGAAAACCATCCAGGTCAGCACTCCCTAACTCCTAACTTACAAGAGAGCCCACAAGCAGCCTGAGCTTTTTAACTATTTCCCCTCCCCAATTTTCAACTGCATCACATCCATAAAGCAATTACAGTATTAACAAGGCTATGCAAGAAAAAGAAGGAAATAATTTTCCCACTACTCCTCAATTACAGATCTGAGAAATCACAGCAGCACAGACTCCGACAGGGAGCAGTAGGCGAGGCAGCATACAGAACAGGAAACTTGGTGGGGTAGTTGAGTCAGGAAGTTCACGAGTATAAAGGGCATTATTCATGGATTTTTCTGTACAGGAAATAAGAGCCAAAAAGTACCCATTTGTATGAGTCATCCCACAGTTTTCTTAATGGTAACACTGGCAGAGAGCAGCTGGAGGAAAATGTGGAATTATGGGAACTGAATCTGAAAAACACTTTTTAAGACTGCTTATCGTGCCTGCTAGTTTTGTCGAGTTCTTCTGCTAAACATCTCTAATGGTCCCCATAAACGCAAACTGCATGAAATGCAACAACACACAGTTTGACAAAACGTAACCTTTCCACGATGGCCAGGATTTTTTACTAGGGCCTGTTCTCATCGGTTTAAGTCGAGAACTTGAGTTAGGTCATGTGGAGCTTCATAAACAGAAGTGTGGGTTATTCCCCCCGATCTCTGACAGCATACTCATTCAAGAGCCTCAGACAACATCAGCGTTTGGTTAGTTACACAACAGCAGACCTGAGGCTGATGTCACAGCTGGGCATGGCATTACAGGAAACGCAAAAACAGGGAAAAAAAAACAAGACTCGGTGTCCCAGACATTTTCCAGCCACAAAAACAGAAACACTCCAATTTCAGATCAGCTCCTAGATCCTGACGGTTACAGAAATGGCACTGATTTTTGTTTCAATTTGGGGTTGAATTTGTTATGCAATAGTATCTGAGTCTCAGTTTTACATGTCATTCTGTTAGTGAAAACTACATGGTAATAAACCTAGCCAAAATGAAAAGCGAAGACAGATCGAGCACTTTCTAAAAAAGGAATGAAATGTAACCTGCATAGAGATCTGCAACCCCAAACCTGTTCCACCAGTAACAACAGACACCTGTTCTTCAAAGGGAATAAAGATGTTCAGAAGAGATAGGTATCCACATTACTCATGCCTCCAAGCAGGGTATTTAAATCAGAACTAAGCGCCTAAATCCTCTAACACCAAGAATCACAAATATTACTTCTAATGCTACCCTGGGCAAGAACTGTGCGCACTAGTTGAGGTGATTTTTCGGTCAAACCACACCTTCTAATTTAATAATAAAGAAGAACTGACTTAATGATGCTGAGATGGAGAACTGCCAATCAGGTGTGTAACTGATCTTTTGACTGTAAGAGATGCATAAATCACAAACGTTTCTCTGTAGCAATGTAGACACGGTACTCAGGAAGGCTCAACAATATAAGCTCGTCTTAATGCTCACCAAGATGCCTTTCAAATATATCAGTCCTTCTGTAGGTCTCTTTCTTCATTGCGTCCTCAGGCACTAACCTGGTTTACTTTACATCCTGACTTGAAGAAGAGATTACAGCGAGCCACAGACATCCCCAATGTCTAGTTCAAGTTAGGTTTTCTAATGGAGCACTAATTGGTTTTCCTGCGTTAAGAGGTTCCAAAGGTTAAGGTGTTAAAACTACATCGGGACAGAGAGCCGGAACGCAGGCTGTTGGAGGGAATCGGATGAAATCGAACTTTGCAGGTGCTGGATGACAGGCGAATGCAGTAGCACTAAAGGAGCAGCTCCTGCAGTTTCAGAGTGGCAGTATTACTGTCCTTCACAGCATGGCTCTCCCCAGTCCAGTTCAAACTTCCTCTCATAGCAACACTGGCCTCACACCGCTGCTTCTGAAGAGACTTGGCTGTGGCAGAGCAGATTTCTAGTAAAGTGTGGCTCTACAAACTTCATCCAGCACAGACCAATGCAAGTAGGATCAAGGCACATCTGAAACCAAAACAAGGAACTTGCATTCTAAAAGCGATTTATGAAAACGTGCTAGATCAACGTAGCACCAATACGAAGCCTGGTCCTCAGGTAACTCGTTCTTTTCCTTTGTGCACTCTGAACAGCTTTATGAGCCACTTGTTACAAGACTCTGAAATACCTGTGGAGGTATCACACCGTTTAATAACAGTGCTCGTCTCGTAGTTCTTAAAGTTAGGGATGGCAATGAACCACAGAATTTGCTTTTGGGAGATCATAAATTACTCAGGCAGCAGTAGTTGGTCAGTTGGTTGATGGGTTTGGGGAGGGCAGTTGCTACAAACTGCTCCAGAAACCCATGCTGTGGTTTGAGAGTCAACGACTGGTTTTAATTCCAGCACCTTTTCCAACTATGTCTACAATTATATTTGATAGCCTGAGTCAGTACATGGGGTTTCAGGAAAAGGAGAAAATGACTCGACTCTGAACGTTTGCCAACAGGGTGGTAAAAGGCTCTTTTTGATTGTGAATACAGAAAACATGTTGTGTTATTTGTGGTTTGTAAGCAAAATAAGGAATTGATTAGGTCTGTACGGTGCCCTGCCATGTTGCAGAGGCTTACTGCTGCTCAGCCAGGGTAGCGAGCGACATTTCCGACAAAGCAAAAACTACTCCTCCAAGGGAGGAACGACAGCTGCAGCTCTGTCTGGAGCTGGACACGCAGCTGTAGCCAGATGATAAACGAGGTCTGCTCATGAATATCAAGAGGAAGTATCTTGCTTGCTGCTACTAGCGTCATATCCTTCCAAGAGCAGGTCTGTATGGATGGAGGCAGCACATTGCACAAACGCGTCTCCTAGAGTAAAGGCCTGAGCAAATACACAAACAGGACCCGTCTCTCGAGATGGGTCACGATTGCCAGCGCTCATCCAGCAGGCCTGTGGCTTTTCCTTCACAGGGAGAAACATTTCCCAGCCCGCACACATGCATGCCGACAGACAGGCATTACAAATATAACAAATGAGTAATGCAAACAATAGAATCTGCGGCATTTTTAACACTCTCAATACACTGCATCTAGGACTCTTCAAAAGCACAATTACTGAGGCTGGGGAACATTTAAGGTCACAGGAACCAAACGGGAGCTCTGCTGCTTAAAGGACTTTGCATTGCTTAATTTATGCAGCTATTCTTATTTATAAAAAATAAGTACAGCATATATATAGAGATTTTGGATATTGACTGCTTTGGCATGACTGATTAATTTGAGATTTTCAGCTGACCACGACAATATTTTTTTTGCAAAAGCACTAAGTGATGAGTCACAGGCGATGAGACAATTTAAGCTGCTGCTGCTCATCAAGCCTGGTTAAAAAATCAAGAAAGAGACCCCAAGAACTAGTTGCTCTGTAGAGAATAACACCTTCTTGCCATCGGTATGCTGGAGGCTGGACTGGTCAAGCGCTGGGAGCTCAGTGGCTGCCCTTCTTGATAAAGCATTGTCCCACTGCAAGGGTGTAGGTCTTGATGCTGCTCTGGACATTTGTGCGATGAGCTGGGAAGACACACGGCGTGGACAGAGAACAGCAAACAGGCTTGAGTCCACTGTCCTCCCGGTTCTGCAGAATGAACAATGTTTGCCATGTTCAATAAAGTGTCTGCGTAACTGCCACAAAAAGATTGACATTTTCTCCCCGGAACTTTATTCATCTCTTGAGGACGTAAAAAAATATTATGCTCAGTACAGCTCAAGTGGGGGCATTTTCTGCTTGACTAAGGAGGTTTCATCTCAAAGATGCTGACAACGCTGTCCTCAAATTACTGTTTAACAGCGCAGT